CAGAATCTGAGACAATGTTACCGAGTCACTTTAAGGAATTTCTCCCAGAGTCATCTTATCCTTCGCTCTTTTTATATGCGACAGATTTTATTGAAATATATTAAATGTTGTTCGCTCATTAAAAATCTAGCCATTCTTATAGCTTTAAACAATTATAGGCAGTATCTTATCACCACTGGTTCACATTTTCTGTCTTTAGCTGTCTTCTGGCGTTGTTCCCAGTGGCGGATCCAGGGGGGGGGGGCAGGCCCCCAACCCTGGGAAAAAATCAGGTAAAAACACGTTAATGTTACCTTTCTTTGGAGATGGCCCCCCTCCCCTGGTGCTCAAGGGGGGGGGGGAGGGTGCGGTTTTTAAATTTTCGAGGAAACAAATTAGTGCTCAATGATCATGTGAACTACATCTCTACTCCCCTTTTTCGCCATATTGGTACACTATTTAAGCTAACTTTTTTGTTGCCAACACAATGTGATAAAATGCTATTTAATATACACTGGTTTTACCATATATTTCTTATTGAAATATCATATGGGCTGCTCATTATTCCAATAATAATCGTATATTAACGTTACAGAAGAAAACAATCCTGTTTGTACCGATGCAGGTTACCGCGACCGACCCTTTATTTGCCACCGTTAAAAACTCTAAAAATAAGTGATATACACTTCATGTTTCGGCTTAAATCCAGCATTTTCCCCCAACCCTAGTCATATTATTACAACATAATGCTAATTTCCATTCCTACCCAATCAGGCATTCAAATGACTATCACCTATTCAACGCCAAAACCGCCTTAGCTCAAAAGTCAATTAGACATTCTGGCCCTGATAGTATGCACTACCCCTGAAATAAAAACGATGGATACAATGCTATCCGTTAAAAGAGTGGTGAAAAAGTTTCTTATTGCTCATTACCTTTTAATCCACCATCAACATTAGTTTACCTTCAATCTTCATTATTTCTCTTTGTATGCCCGTCGTTACAAAACTCGAAAATTTTCAGTATACTATCACTTATTTTGCTTCCATTCATTGAAACGTTGATTATAGCCTTCCATGACCTAGTTTGAATAAACGTATGAATAAAGAGCGGCCTACTTGGAATACTGACTAAACACTGTTTTGTATACAATATTTTGAGGCTCTGTCTCGCAGGCCCAGGTTTACAGTCTTTATAAACCACCTCGCTGATCTCACATTCTCATTTATATTGTCTAAAAACCTTGCTAGTCATCTCATCTATAATGTATCCCAAGTTGGCCACCCAATATTCAAATGTGCATCTTCTTTTTTATTTTCATATATCAAATTAAAATCCAAAATACATCGGTGAATATTGATGTACACCCCTCTTTTTTTTCTCTTTTTTTTCTCTCTCTCTCTCTTTTTCCCCTTTTACCAATATTTCTTCCTCCATATTTGTGTCATTATGTATCAATTTAGGGTAGTCACGCTATCAAGCTTTGCTTACTTTGTCAACCCTCCTGTTCGGTGTTTTCGATTAGGTACAGCCAGCCTTGCTTTATTCTACATAAACTATTTTGTGATGTATAACATTTGCAATGATTTGTTTGTTATAATTTGTAAAACTGCAAAAGAAAAAGAAAATCAAACAGAATAAAAAATCTAATCAAATTCATTCGAATAAAAATGTATAAAGTCAAAACCAACATAATGTTATAACAAGTTTCATTTCCAAGCAGGTGTCTATCTAATGTATCAAAATAATTGAAAAAGCACTTAACATGAAGCTTCACATTTTCAACGGATTTAATAAGAAAAGATTTAATACACAACATTAACAAAAAAGCATTTGTTTCCCTATTTAAATTGACACAACATTATTCTTGATTAAGAAACATTTGTAAGCATCTTCACTTTGAGGTTATAAGTGATAATGATGACAATTAATCTTATTCTTCAGTTTTCTCTGTTTGTGTGTATTTTCTTTGGAAAGTACTTCTGACAGTTTTGAAAGTATGGGTGCCTATATAGAAAGCCATCAACAGCAGCCTAGCGCCGCCAAGAGTCATATCAATCTTTAAAACTTGATGGTGTTTTCTTTTGCAAAATTGGGCCCTGAAATGAATTTCCGCTCGTCGATTTCGTAGAATATGGAGTTACAACTGCATGAGTAATATTTAAGACGCCCCTGTCGAAGTGTCGTAGTCGAGTGGTTTAAGAACTTGACTTGAATTTCGTGGTTCGATCCCCGACACAGACGTTAATCTACATTTGCCACTCTCCAGCCAGGTGTTAAATGGGTACCCGGTAGGATGTGAAAGTTAATGTGGTTGGATGAGCAAGTGGCGCTTGTAAAATGGCGACTGGCCGGAATGGTCCCAAAGGAGTAGAGAATGTGCATATTATATTGTGTGTGGGTAAGCCTGAATCCGATGACCGGGGTAATAATATGTACTGCGCCAAAAACAAAGTACAAGGCGCATTATAGATGTGAGCTATTATTATTATTATTATCAAATAGATTGAATTAATGTTTTCACCCTCGCTGCAAATAGTTCAATCTGCCCTTTTGAAACCCCTAACACTGATTTAGATTCGCAGGTATTTCAGACAATGCGGAGTTCGGATGCGTCGCATCCTATTTCTTTTTGAATCGTTACGGTTTTTATGCCGCTGGAAGATGAAGCGTCTTTAACACAGGTGAACTAAAGTTTAAATTAATTTCACCCTACCTTATCTTTTTGCTGCGTTAGGACTTTAGATAGGCGACTGATAAAGATCAAGTGATGGTTTGGGAAAGAGTGAGTGGTCAATATTGTCATTGGAGGCGAGACTTTAGCGTACCAAAGAAGTGAATTTGGTAGAGAAAGTGGTGAGAAGCCATTTTTACTTGGTGGGAGAAAAATCTGGCTTGTCGTACATGGGGAGGGAGTCCCTCTGACGGTTAGAGTGCAGGAATATTTATTATCACCCCCTTTGTGCAGACACTGAAAGTCAGACATTTCGTAAGTCAGCTATTTTTAATGTCAGCCATTTCGGATATTGTAAATTGCACGTACGGTTCTTGAATTTTGAGGCAAACAGAATGCATTGGACTTTATTCATTTTTTTGCAAACATAATTCCTAAAGCCAGAAAACACTTGAAATATTATTAGCATTGTATTAACGCTGAGGTTAGATTCATGTTTAGAGGATTTATCAGGAGGAGTTATGTGACACGCAAAAGTGATGTTATAATGGAACTTTATGTCTTGAAAAGATTGAGATACTGGAAAGGTTGTTTTTTAAGATGTGTGAAAGCAAACTGATTTCAGATATTAAAAAAAGAAAACATGTTTAAAGTCAACATCTTGTGTTTTTATTTTAGTAGGAAAGTGACGAAGTACCTACATTTTAAAGAACACTTGTTAGTGTTTTTAGGATCAAAATATTATGACAGGATTCCATTTGTATTACTGCTAATTAATTATATGACAGTCGTTTAGGGTAGTTTTTCAGCCACAATTTGATTGTCGAAGTCTATCAGTGAGCGACTTAAAGTCCGCTGGTCGCTGATTGCGTAGATTGGTGTTCATTCACGCCATCACGAGCCATCGATTTCGGTGTCGATCTCGATCTTGAACTGCACACTCGGACGTTCCATTAACGATCGTGAATGGCAGTGGACAGTTCGCAAACTCCAGCGTTCTGATCGCGTTACCTTGACAACACCTTTTGGCCGACAATAAATTGTCTGTTATAATGGCAGAGTTTATTTAACTCATCAGTCAATACCGTCTAACGTTTCAACTCTTATACTTTTGAAGCTGGATTTTTGTTTAAATGTTAAGGTTATTTATGGTTGTATGCATCTATTATCATATAATGTTATGCATTCTCAAGTAACTCAACCCTCTTGGTAACATTGAATTGAATTTGTTTTCTTATTGTCAACTTTCAAAACTCTATGTGAAGTCATGAAAGTAACTTGATGAATGGTCTGTATTCTTTCTCAATTAAAATTCAGGCTATCACATTATAACTCATTCTCTAATTGATTTTTGATATGTGTATCCCACTTAAGCTAACTACAATTATGTGACACCCTCTTAGCAGGAAGCTGTTCCTGCTCTTAGGTGTCTCTGGGCTGTTCTATGGGACGTGTTATCAGCTCTGCTCTAAGCTGCTCTTGGTTACATAGGTTCTCACTTAAATTCCTATTATATAAACATTTTCACCTGCGAATTTAGTAATTCAAGATAGATGCACATTTTCTTGTTTCCAGGAGTGCACTGTGAATCATGTCAATGCTACCAAGGCGGAACCCACATCATGACCATGGTATCACCGAATTACCCTGATCCATACCCACCCAACAGTAACAAACAATGGACCATTGAAATACCAGTTGGTGAACAGGTTTGTATTGCACCTATTCAATAATCCGAATAGTTAATGCCCAGAGATCACCCAATTTTCAATACTTTTGCATGCTTTTGCATCTTCACATATTTCAGTGTATCGAGTCATAAGAAAACAATCGTAAGACGAGTATTTCATTAAACATGTTGACAGTCCATCAAGTTGTATCATACGTATACACTATAGCACTGTCATAAGGTTCACGATAGGAACCGGTTTTTGTGTAAATGGTTACTAATTTCGTAAGGCAATATACTCTACACATTGAATTAGTTTGTAGCATTTCAACGTATGTTTTTTGTTCTCTCTCTCTCGCTCTCTCTCTCTCTCTCTAGTTTTCAAGTTCCGCTCTTGGTACTGTAGCTTGGCTCTTATTTAGCTTATACCTTTGAATATGAAACTTATAATATATACTTAGAATTTGTTGTGTGAACACATTTAAATAACACATTTAAGACCACCCGTGCCTTATATTATGTTATTTTAAATGAACATGTTTGGTTATTTTCCTATATATATATATATATATATATATATTCTGTTCCTCCTATCAACTTGAAAAAATTGATATATATATTTATAAAAATAAAAATATGCTGGCGGAATTAACTGCTACTGTCGTTCCAATAGCTTGTGATGCAGGTGAACTCCTTGGAGATTGAACACCCCTGGGACACCCTCACCGTCACCTACCAGTCTGAACTGACCAACAGTGATGTCACGTTCCGTTTGAAGAACAGTCACGTGACATACCTGCAGCTAACGGCGGGTACAGTGAGCCTTGCCTTCTGTGCTGACTTGATGGAACAGAATCAAGGATTCGCTATTGACGCTCGCATATATCCTCTCAACGGTAGGTCGAACCTCTCCCTGAATGTATTCTGAAATATTTCTGCCATATCAAATGGTTCTGTTTAATACATACTGAGGTCAGAATAGAGTTCAAAGCTTGAGTGCATGAGAAAGTTATAACCAGATACATATTGGGTAAATTAATAATAATATCATGATAGTAAATTAACAAGTGGTATATAGTTTGTATAAAGTGGAAACAACACTTGGCCCTTTTCCCCCTTTTCTTTTCATACTTTACTTCTATTCTCACAGCCACAACAGGTGTTTATCAATAATTCTGAAAACACAAAAAAAAATATCTGGTCATTTTATTAAAACGAAAATATTTCAGATTTCGCTTAAGTCGGCTATTCTATCGCACTAGCCGGTTGTATTTCTTACTTCCTTTGGATCTGTATGTATTTTTATATTTTGTTTAACCTTGCCTAAAAATTGAATGAAAAAATAAAATCCATAGATTTCTTGATCTTTTATCCTTCACAATATTTTTTGATGACTAAGTCAAACAGAAGTACATTTTCATTTTTTTCTGAATGCAGATTCTGAAAGCACATCGGGTTTGCTGTGTGGCGGTGCAGATGATTTCATATGCGCATCTGGTCTGCAGTCTATATCCTCATTGGCTCGATGCGATCACGTGATTGACTGTCACGATTTCTCCGACGAAACGGAATGTGGAGGTAATCATTTTCGCGGAAACATGAAAAATAACCAAAAAGACATAAACTCACTGCCATTTTGATTAAATGTATCCATTGGCTTTCTATTTGCTGGGCATTCAATCATTTGAAAGTCCATGAATACATCAAAAAAGGCATTCAACAATCAATGTCCTTGCTCTTGCTCTTCTATTCTTCTGCAATGTAAACTCGCTTCTAGTCACTATTATCATCGACATTTTTATTACTTTTATTGTTATAATTATCATTATTATCATTATAATCATCACCATCATAATTCATTTAGCAATTTCGATATCATGATGATAATAAATCAACTATTTAAACAATAAGCTAAGGACTTGAACACAATAACACAATAATTTCACAAACAGTTGTGCTTCCGACCAAGGAAAGGAACAGATCAAATATGTAATCATTGCCCACATAAAAGACATTCCTTCAAACACCTGATCGAGCGCAAAATGCATTTATTTAAACATTAATTCCTTCTTCAACGCAAAATTATCGTGCCTTGTCCTTTCATAACTTTGAGACTCTGGTCCCTTTTGGGAATGAATGAAATCAAAGACACTTCTACATTGGTTTCCGATCAAAGGATAAGCTGGAAATATTAGTCTACAAATGCTTGATGAATGCTGCTCCGCAGTACCTCTCTGACGTTAATACAGACCAACTCTACAGATTTTTAAATGTCCTCTTCATTCACAGAACGATCAAAGCTTTAAATCCCACGCGCAAACACCAAGGCAGCCGAACGCTCTTAACATCGCCTACGTAATGCAAAATAAACTTCAAAAATAAAGTCAAACTCAATTCTTCCCATCGTAATTAAGACAAGTGAGTCAGAGAGGTGCTAACTCTGTTAAATTTAATCAAGACCTTATTATCATCATTATTGTTATTATTATCATCATCAATATTGATAGTTGATAGTGGTGGTTATTTTACCTGACGGCTAAGAAAGCAATAAATGCCTGTTAGTAAGCAACCAGCATAATTACTATTATTATTGTTATCATTATTATTGTTATCATTATTATTATTATTATTAGTATTTCTCTACGAATAATCATATATTCTTGATATTCCCATAACTCTATTGCAGAATGCCAAGAAAGTGATTATGAATGCCAGAATACTGGGATATGTATCTTACGTCAATATCAATGCGATGGATCGAAAGACTGTCCCAAAGGAGACGATGAAGAAAGATGTGGTAATACACATTTTTAAAGATCTCGTTAAGACATATACAGTGCGTCCCAGAAAAAACGAAACCGAGAATTATCGATGTTTTATCATAACTTAATCACATTTATAATTGATAAATGACACATATTTGGAAAGCTTTGATCCTCCTCTTTCATTTGGTGTAACCCATATGATGCATATTTCACGCATGAGTGATTAAAATGAATTTGAAGAGAGAAAACCAAAAAGTCATTTTGCGGACGGTATCTGAATTTCAAGGGAAAATCACATTTCTAGAAAGTTGAATTTCTGTCCTTTCATATGACACCTCAATCAAGAAAAATGAGCAAGGAATTACAAAGTTATGTTGGTTTAAAGTAGTGCTTGCATTTCCATAATTTTATCAAACGAATTCATTTGCACTGGGTGCCTGCCGTAGCAACAAACAGAGTTGACAACAACTCCGTTTCGTTGACAATCAGCCATGCATGAAGTCTTTCGTTTACGGCTGATAGTCAACGAAATGGAATATAGCACACAGATCACAAACCCGACGATCACAGTGGCTTAGCTTATTGTTGGAGGCATGTGCCACCCAGTGGCGGATCCAGGGGGGGGGGGGCCCGGGGGCCCGGGCCCCCCCCCTTGAGAAAAAAATCATGTAAAATCACGTGATTTTTACCTTTTTTGGGGTTGGGCCCCCCCCTGGCGCTCAAGGGGGGGTGCAAATTGAAATTTTTTTGAAGATCAAAAAAAAAAAATGTGCTCACTTCCCCCCCCCCCCCCCCCCCCCACTGAGCGACTTTTCGGCCGGCGCGATTTTTCAAATTTTCGGGAGCAAAAAAAAAAAAAAAAAAAAAAAATTGTGCTCTGTACCCCCCCCCCCCCCCCCCCCCCCCCCCTGAGCGACTTTTCGGCCGGCGCGATTTTTCAAATTTTCGGGAGCAAAAAAAAAAAAAAAAAAAAAAATTGTGCTCTGTACCCCCCCCCCCCCCCCCCCCCCCCCCCCCCCCCACTGAGCGACTTTTCGGCCGGCGCGATTTTCAAATTTTCGGGAGCAAAAAAAAAAAAAGTTGGGCCCCCTCCCCTAAGAAATCCTGGATCCGCGCCTGGTGCCACCACCCCATGCCCAGCCCCATTTGAAGTCGCAAATGAAAATGAATCAATTTGGGTTGCGTTTCATCCCAAAGTAACCGCACGTATTACTTTACAAATACAAACTTGGTCAATTTTATCCAAACCATATCATTATACTACCATTTTCTAAATCTACATAATCATGATTATACCTTGGTTAGATTTCTTATTACCATACTGATAATGACATTAATAGTGGGTTCTTTAAAAAAGCTCATGTCTGGCGCTCCTGGCGCTCCACAATATATTCTCTTTGTCAATTTCTCCGTCAATCTCGATAAAGAATCGTTGAGGTGTCCCGATGGTTTGGAGTGTGGTGAGATGCTCTACACACATCGTCATGGCCCAAAGGTACCTTCGTGTAACAGAGTTGGAGAGCACAACTGGCTGCCTTTTTCAACAAACGGAACGGACGGCTGGACCCCAGACTACCAAAACATAGGAGCCAGGAAAACAGAGATCATGTCAGTACCACATAATACCATGAATAATATGTCATGAAGAAACGGTATATATAGGAAGAGAGAAGGAAGCACAGACGAGAGGACGTGAATAAACACGTCCGTCAAAAGGGAGGAGAACATGGAGAGAATTAGAGAGAGGGAGAGAGAGAGAGGGAGAGAGAAGGGCGAATATAAGACAGAGAGAGAGACTTATAGCCAAGATACAAAGAAATAGTAAAGAACAAAGTCAAGAACAAATTCAAGAACAAAGTCAAGAACAAAGTCAAGAAGCCCTCCCGGTAAATGTCATTTCTATGTATTTATTATAAATAACATCGTTTTTTTATGATCACAACCTATAAAATGTCTTATTCTTTGTCCGATTTAGTGAAACTTTCACTTTAATTATACCAATTTTCTTCTCCCACTCAACATCGCCCGGTCGACTTTCTTTAATTTTTGTTATTCCCTTAATTCGATATGATATTTTATCCGGTCACTAGGTGGAACGATCTATTGTAAGTGCCTTTGAATGTGCCATTATCAAATTCAAATAGGTTATTATTGCAACCAATGACGCTATCTTTTTAGTTAATTACTTTAAATTAATTGTCAAGAGACATTCTTTTGAGAAAAAATTCAATTTAACTCTTAAGACTAAGTGATAAAGTGCTCTATATACATAACAAAATACCTGTATGGCAAATATTCATGGTATCTTCCTTACAATGGGGATGGAATATATATTCCAAAGATGTACTAATGATGCCACTTTAAAGAGAGCGTAATGATACTTAAATGCCATAACATTGGTCATAACAGCAATAATACATGTAAGTCGTTCAAAACAGAATCATAAATCATACAACTAAACATATAGAATTAGTCCTTTTTCTTTCAAAATAAAATTAAAATGGGTTTCTTGCTCCAGATGTAAGCATTTAATTGACCTTTTAGTTTGGATAAATTTACTTAATATGTAAAATTCAATCTTTGTTCATAGAAAAACAGACTCAAACCGGACCAACGTCAGACTCTAAAGATGTACACTATTTTATTCATATTTAAAACATGTTAGAAAGAATTAGATAGAATTAGATTATGATAATATTTGTTATAAAAAAACAAAATAAAAGATGATTATTTCACGAATGAGGTCACAAGTATCACTCTTTTGTTGCGCTATGTTTCTGTATTTACTAAACGTTCGAGTATTAAATGTCGGTTCTCGTTACTAGCCATAAACTGTTTGTAAGGTGTTTTGAAATCTTTTATTTCAGGAGAAATCTTGGAATGTATAGAACACTCGGGATGACATTTCCTGAATTCGGGGTTTCAGTTACTCTCGAAATAAATGAAAGAATGAAATCTGGAAAAAACTAAAGTTGAACATTTATTAGATTACAATTTAAAAAAATTAAGTCCAAATAAATTCCAAAGTCATGTAGACCACAGTTCTAAGACAGAATCTAGATTCGAGATTTTACTATAGTGTTTGAACAAAACAACTTCGAAAATCATAAAAATAAATAAAATAAAAATTATAAATAATTATTACCAATGAATTTTAAAGTCAAATAGAGCTTACTACACAGGCCTCCATTCATTTTCGATTTACGGAGATGATATTAAAATATTAATAATAAAATGTTGAGAAAAAATTATAAAATTTGGTAAAAAATATACTAAATTTGTTACTTATTATTGTTTATTGTGTTTTTGGAATAGATTTGTGAGAAGTGATTCGGCGCTAACTCTAGTCCCCAGAGCGTTTGAAGGATATGACTTTCTTCATTCACTGTAAGTAAATTTCGATAATTATAACGTATCAAACAGGTTTTGGGAGGAAAAATAGAATCTTTTATCTTATAACTTCTCGTTCCTTCAGAGCATTTTCTTCTTTGATATAATACTTCATATACAATGGGAACACTGTGTTATATAGGTTAGGCTATAGCAATAGAATGGCCCAAAAAGAGATGAGAGCGAGGGAAGAGATGGAGGAAAAAAGAAAAGAAATGAGATGATGTAGAGAGATACTATTAGATAGATTGCTCGAAAAGCGCTCTTCAGAGATTAAACTATTACGTAAATTAGTTACGTGGGTTCAACACGATAAATCTTAATTGAAATATGTAACATCTGTTGTAAGGGGTGCATTCAACTTTCATCAACAGACACTTTGGGGTGATCCGATCTGCGCCTTTGATGTAGTGTAGACCTACAGCAAAAAGAAAACAGGAGACATGAGTGAAAGATAGAATACATACGGGGAAAACAGACGGAGAGTTTGTATGTGTGACCGTTTCACTTTAAAATGCGAAAGATTTCCACTGCAAAGGGGCAAGGGTATATTGCCCTATTGGTCTCATAATTTGACCATCTAGTACAGCGTTTTTTAACCAGGATGCCGCGAGTGAATTATAGTTAGGCCTATATTTAAAATATACTTTTTGATATAATACCATCTTCATGAAAA